ATTAGCATCACCAGTTTCCCAGGTTTACATGGGATGCTCACATGGGTCCTTGAAACGTTCAGTGTGATTAAGATACTTGGGTCAGGATCATCCCCAAATGAACAAAGTACCCCAGCTTAATTCTAGGTGATTCAGCTGAGTCAAGTAGCATGGGGAGGGTGAAATACTAACAGAATAGAGGTGGAATGACAATTTAACCTGTCCTATTCTTACTATATTCAGGCCACCACAGTTGTTTTTAAGAACTGTGTCTTTTTAATTTCGAAAGCATGACATACAAAGCATGAGTTTGGGGAAAACCATGCAATCTTCTTGTAAATCCTTGTCTTTCATTGTGAGAAAGAAGTAGGGGTACCAAATCTGGACTGCAGAAATGCAGGCAACCAGTAGATGGAAGTAAAGAGAAATGGGAAAACAAGTCCCACTTTTTGCAGCTCAGATCAAGTAGGCCTTGAGAAACTGGAGTGCACACAGTAAAACCAATCAGAACCTAGGAAGAGGTCTTTGAGACCATTCCTAACAAGAGAATAAAAATGCATGTACAGTATTTCCTGGCCAGAAACCAGCTCCTAGCCTACAATCTTTGATGTGAATGGGGGCCAGGTTGAGCCACAGTAGCAACAGACTTCTACCTTTGCAGAATATTGTAACTCTGCTTCTGCAGGACTCAGCAAAATCTCACCAGGAGTAGATACTAAACAAGGAAATATTTTTTCACAAATATACATAAGCATTAACTTTTCAGTTTTTGCCCGCCGTAGGTTTACTGCAATCCAGGCCTTATCTTTATTCTCCAGGAAGAGACCTGGTAAAGTCCTTCTCTTGCAGGTTGTTCTAGTTTTGGGCTAGCACAGCAGTTAATCAGGGCCACTCATTAAAGCTAAGCAGAGGGGAAGCCATTAATCCACATGCCTTATAACTCAAAAGAAAACAGCCATCCATTTGCCCAAAAGATGACTTAACGTATTTCCATCCATCCATCCATCCTTTTCTCTCTCTCTCTCTGTTGGAATGTGGGATGGGAAAGGAACATGTACCTATTAGTCAACTGAACACATGCACCTGGAACATCTTGCCTCTAGCCTGTCTTTTCTCATGCTGGAATAGTGTCCTATTTAAAGATACAGATGGCTTAAAAGATTAAGGGAGTTCAGATCTCCCCCATCAGAAATCAGAAAGGGCTGTTGCAGAGCTGTGTATCTGAAGGGAAAAGATGCTTCAAAGCATGTAAAGGTGTCAGTGTAGCACTTGTCTACAACTCCTTAAACCAAGTATGTGAAGCACCATTTTGCCTTCAGATCCAAAATGCTGCAGAGCCCTAGAATCAAACATGCTGAGACGGAGTCTATTATCTATTGGACAAAGAGATTATTCTACAATTCAAAGTGATTGATTTAAGTGATTTAAGGAATTGTATTGTATGCTCAAGTGTTTTTAGTATAATTGGAAAAAGGCTACAAACAAAACCAGAATTAGTTGTGTCTGTAATTTCGTATTTTAATTAACAGGAAGAGAGCTATCACTGAGCCTACACAATGGTGCACAATCTTTTTGGGCAAAGAGACCCATCACCTGCATCCCAGAAAGTTGATACAAAAACTACATTTGATTTAATTTAAATAGAATGTAACCAATTATGTGCAGTTAATATGATAATTATTCCTCCATCTTTATGTGTCTTTATATTGTGTCTTTATATTCGTAGAAACCATTTGGCGCTACATGCTAAAAAAACCCTGAGGGCCACATCCAAGGTGTTTGGAGATGAAAGTTGTGCAGCACTGGTCTAATCAGGAGGCGCATAGCTTGCATCTTGATGACTGGGAAACATTTTCCTGAAAGATCTAGAAACCCTCCCTTGTCTTTGGAACATGACACAGATCAAGCAGAGAAAATTGGCAGAGTCTCTGAAGCCAAAAAATAATAAGGCAAGAAGGAACTGTGAGCTGGCTGAAGATAAAGCACCCTGGGGGTATTATGGGGCTGTCTCCGAACCTTGATGTGGCAGACTGGTTTTGCTATCTGCAACAAAAGTCTACAGCTTCCCACAGATTTCGCTGATGTAATTATTACCACTCTAGATGTTACTAAGGTAGAACAAGTCTGCAGTCCTCTCTTACCCACCACGTTAGGAAGCTGCTAACAAAACACTCCCTTTACGGAAGTTAAGAGTGACTATCAGCAGGCACGAAGCCCTCACCTCACTCCCTCCACAGGCATACAAGCGCCCGCCCGCACACACCTGATGCAGGTGTTCCCTGTGCCAGGCTAATCCAATGCAGTGTGAAGAACCTGGGATAATTTTGCAGGGCTGCGCAAGCCGCTCGTTGGGAGCATTAGGACGTGTGTGGACTTCCTTGCAACCCCCGCACATATCTCCCGATCTTAAACCAGACAACCACAATCTGCAATGCAGCAGCGTTTAGAGGGGGCACTCCAATGTTGCTGGGAGGTTCGATTTGGTTTCTTTCACGGCACGCACGAAACTCTCGCTCGTACCTCGCTACGGCTCACTCCTCCAAGACCAGGTTTGTGTAAAGGGGGGGGGGGGTTTCTTTTTTTAGCGGCCTGCTTTTGCAAACACCATTTAGAGGGGGCGGAGGTTTGCGATAGGAAGAGGGAAGCAGGACGTCTCGGAGCCATGCGCATCCCAGGAGAACCAACCTGTAGGCAGGTATTGGGCCAGGAAGTGGGCGGCTATCCATTTAGGATATATATGGCTAGCAGGGGGGTTTTGCGGACGGGCGTGTCCTTTGCAAGCCAGCAGAAGTGCGGGCGCGCGAGATGAAGCGCAACAAGCCGATTTGCCTTTTTGCAAATGCAAAGTCTCCCCGCTTCGGGAATGACAGCAGCGAGCAGCTGGAGCCTCTCCTCCTCTGTCGCTCTCCTGGCTGGGGTGGAATCAAGTTGCGCTCCGCCCCTGCAGCCAATCGCGCCCCGCGCAAAGCCACCTCGGCCTCGCCTCGCCTGGGGCTGAGTCAGCGGCGGAGGAATGCGAGGCGCCCCCCTGCTCCTCGGGGAGGGGGCGTTGCACCTCCGCTGCCGAGGCCATGACGTCATGGACTATGCTAATGACTAGCAT